CACTCTTGGCACCAGCAGCCAGGAAATTAAAAGATGTATTGAGATGGGAAAGTCTGCTGTTAGGGACCTCTCCAAAGTACTGAAGGGCAATGGTGTCACTCTGGAAACCAAGGTGTGCCTGATATGATGCCTTTGAGCTGTGGTGTTGGAGAAGAGTATTGAGTATACCATGGACTGCTAAGAAAATGAACAGGTTTGCCTGGAGAGAGTTAAACCAGGCTGCTCCTTGGAGGCAAGCATTCTGAATCTTCATCTGACATACTTCAGACATGTTGCAAGGAGGGACCAGTCCTTGGAGAAGGATGTCATGCTTGGGAGAGTGGAGGGACAGCTCAGGAGAGGAAGACCCTCTATGAGGTGAATTGATTCAGTGACTGGGGTAATCAGTGATAATGTGTTGGAAACAGTGAGATTGGCACAGGATAGAGCATGATTTAGGGCTGTTGTACATTGGGTTGCTATGAGTCACAGGCGACTTGACAACAGATAACAACAACATACAGAAATCTATTTGAGCTATATAAAAAGTGAGAAGTATATTTGCTTCTTTATTTCTATTTATGGAACAAATGAGTTAACAAATAATAGAAGCATAAGGTGAATTCCTTATTACTTAGAATAGGCATCAGCTAGCTCTTTCTGTAAAAGGCTAGTTAAGAACTATTTTGGCTTCGTGAACCAGAATACTGTCTCTTGCATTTACCGAACTTTACACCTGTAAGGAGATAGCAGCTATAGATCCCACAAAAACAAGTGATCATGGCTGTATTTCAGTAAAACTTTATTTATAAAAACAAGCCATGACCCGAATTTAGCCTGGGGGCTTTAGCTTACCATTTCCTGATCCAGAAAAAGATTCAGAATACAGCTTTTTAGTGTTAGTTTAGCATGATTTGGAATAGTGAGTAGCCTAACTCGAGCTTCCTTCTCAGGTCTTAAAATACCTCTTGAGTTCTTTTGCTGTTGAGTCTTAAATATTCTATTCCTTCTCTCTCCTAAATAATGACTCCACAACATTGAAATATTCTGTAAATCTTTTGTTATCTGCTTTTGGTCTAGTACAATCTTTCTTTTTTATCTTTTGCATATATTAATTTAAAAAGTTTAATTTCAATGCAAGATAACTTCCAAGCAAGGAAGGCAGTTAATAGCTCAAAGGGACAGTTGAATTACAAGTGCTTTTGTAACCTAGCTCTTGTATTACTAATTCTATTTAGTGTCTATATACTATCATCACTTTTTGTTTTCCATCTAGACATATTTCCTAGGGAGCTCTGGGGGCCTAGTGGATAAAGAATTTGTGCTATCAATCCAGAACTAGTCTTTATCCTTCTCTTCGGCTATTTCTTACAGACTTTATTCATTCTTTTAACACATTAGGGGATTTATAATTGCTTATAATACACTTACAATTCTGTTTTTTGCTTGCACCCCACCAGTAATAATCTCTTTGCTTGAGAAACTTCCATTGCTGCTGTCTAGTTCCAATTTCATCCTATAGTAACCCATTTGATTTTTCAGACTTTTTCCACTAATGTTCCTCTCACAAACTTTTAGCTTCGGATCACTTTCTTTCACTGTTCATTCTTTTTCTCCTTTCTTGACCCCCTCTCTGTTCTCCCAACCCACTAATCCCTTGAACATTACCCAGTTGGGGACCGCTCTTTCACTTGGATAGTTCCATTTAACTAGGGTTCCTCCTCCCTCTGATACACTTCCTCCTTTCTAAAGGGCTGACAAACAGTCGTCTTTTTCTGAGGCTGTGACTCAGGCTTGGGATGGCGAGATAATATGTTACACTTGGGTTAGGAGAAAAAGCAGGTGAATTCCAATCTTGTTTGGACCACGTACAATTCTGAAGGATCCACAGGCAGCG